CTTGAGCCACATCCCCAGCCCTCATTCACTTATTTTTATGTGGTGTTGAGGATTGAACCCAGGGCCCCGAGCATGCTAGGCAAGCGCTCTACTGCTGAGCCACAATCTCAGCCCCACATGTACCACTTTCTGTAGAATTATTGTCCCAAATCTGTCTGAGCCTGCCTGATTTATGTGATATTTTTGTTATTTCCTGCTCTTTAGCCTAATCATTTGAAAATCTGCATCTTTTTCTTATTTTTTTTTCTCCTTCTTTTGAGCAAATGTAACTAGATTTATTTGTACCTCATTCAGTGGTTTCCTCATCCACTGGTCTGTATGCTACTTGTTAGGTGAAAATGCTTCTTGTGCCAGGTATGGTGGCTCATGCCTGTAATCACAACGGCTCAGGAGGCTGAGGTAGGAGATCACAAGTTCAAAGGTAGTGAAACCTTGTCTCTAAATAAAATACAACAAAGGAATGGGTATGTGGCTCAGTGGTTAAGCGTCACTGAGTTCAATCCTCAGTACCAAAAAAAAAAAAAAAGAATGAACAAAAGAAAGAAAATAATTCTTGATGCTTTTGCTCTAAGAATCCACTTTGTTTTTTCATTCCTTACATCCCTGGTACTGGGTATTGAACCCAGGGGCACTTTACCACTGAAGCACACCCCCAATTCTTTTTATTATTTTGTTTGAGAATGGATTTGCTAAGTTGTCTAGGCTGGCCTCAAATTTGCAATCTCTCCTGCCTCAGCCTCCCGAGTCACTGAGATTACAGACATGTGCCACTGTGCCTGGCAAGAATCTACTTCTTCTTCTTTTTTTTTTTTAATATTTATTTTTTTTTAGTTTTCGGTGGACACAACATCTTTGTATGTGGTGCTGAGGATCAAACCAGGCCAGTGCGCTACCACTTGAGCCACATCCCCAGCCCAAGAATCTACTTCTTGATGATGTCTTTTTAAGTTCTATTGCCAGTGGTCACTTACTTTGTAAAAAGCCTCTGAGAGTTGCACCCCTTCAGATTGTATAGACTTTGGATAGCTAAGAATTTAGAACTGCACCCATTTCTGTTCATGGTTAATCCTGGCCTTACAAAGACTACTTTTGTCCACATGTCATCTGTGTTTAGGATTATAGGTAAAACTTAAGTGGGATTTAGAAAATTAGGGCAGCTGGGAAAGCTTACTTCAGTCCCAGATATTACCTGCCTTGAGACCTAATCACTATGTGGCAACTTCATAGTTGTGTGTGTGTTTGATTGGCCTGAGATGAAATTCTTTGGCAGGAAGCCAGGTGTGGTGGGGGTGCGTCACCAAGAGTGTGGTGGCCACCTAAGTTTTTTTCCTTATTGTGATTGAATCTTGGGCTTCTAAATGATTTTTTTGTATGCTAAAAAAGAATAGTTTATTCATAATACCCAAATTCTCAGTACCAGTCAAGTGGGAATCTTGAGCAAATTAATCTTTTTCTAGGACTGTAAAGATTAGTTTTCTTTTGAAGCACTGCCAAAATTACAGGCTATATGCATAATCAGTTAGCTCCTGCACCCCTAAATCTAGCCTGCTACCTTTCTGAAGTTGCCTCTGAGAGACTCATATTATGTTTATGATAAATTTGAACTGATTCACAGGAAAAATGCTTCTTATCTTTTACTTTTTTCTCACCTCGCTTCACTTAAGTTTAACAAGCGGTGTGGGTAACCTGTGGTCTGGCTGATTGGACTTCAGGTTCTACTTGAGTCTATGACCTTGAACATGATCTTACAGTATATTAGTATCTTTGGTTCTTCTTTAAAAGTACAGTTAGCCCTCCCTGTCCACTGCATCTGGTCATTCAACTAACCTTGTATTGAAAATATTTTTCAAAAATTCTATCTATGCTGAATCACATGTACCGACTTTTTTCTTGTCATGATTTTCTAAACAATAAACAACTATTTACTTAACATTTACATTGTATCAGACATTATGTATAATCTAGAGATGATTTAATGTATATGAGGGATGTGCATATGTTATATGTAACTGCTGCACCATTTTATATAAGAAATTTGAGCATCTGTAGATTTTGACATCCTCAAGGGTCAACCAATCCACTGTGGATACCAGGGAACTAACTATAACGGAAATTGTTGTTCCCTATATCCCTTTTTATACAAGGTTGTAAGGAGCATGCTGGCACTGAATCTAACATTTCCCTCCCATGTTCCTGTCAGAATCGGCTACATTCACAAAGGGCATTGCTTCTGCAAGGCACTGAAAGCCTAAACAGGGCCACTCAAAGCATTGAGCGTTCTCATCGGATTGCTACAGAAACTGACCAGATTGGCTCAGAAATCATAGAAGAGCTAGGGGAGCAACGAGACCAGCTGGAACGTACCAAGAACAGAGTAAGTCTGCACAGGTGGGGAAAAGTGACTGGAATAGGGAAAGTAGGTAGGTCCACCATACCCAGATGCCATCATCCTAAGTCCAAAAAACTACAGCAGTTCTAAATTTAGGGGATAACCTTTTTTTTTAGGTTGCTTGGGTAAGAGAGGATCTTCCTTTGAAGGAATTTTACCCCTAAGACTTAGTCATTAATGGGAAAAAAAATTTTTTTAAAGAGGCATGTAAGGATTCAAAGTCAGCAACATGAGCTTTTCATTTCTCACATCTAGGGGAATATTTTGGTATTCTTAGGAAAACATCATCAACTTATAACACCCCATCTTTTAGAACCAACGTTCTTTTCCAAATGTCAAACATAGTACCATTCATAGTATGTAGATTTATAAACTATTGCTCAGTATTGGACTATAGTCCTTTACTGTTACCAAGGTAAGTTGGATCATTGAGGGAAGAAAACAGAAATCTATTGATGACTGTTGGGGGTCTCTAATATGCTGCCACTTTTAAGAAACTGGGAAATAACTCATTTCTTCTTTTCTAAATATTTGTTACTCTACAGAGGGATTTTTAAAATAGTAGTTTGCCAGTGGAATGCTCTATCTTAATAGGCTGAGGCAAATTCAAACTGAAAAGCGGATAGTGGGTCCAAGATTTAGACAGGAAAATATTAGCTTAGTGTGGGGATTTGAGGGTGTTGTGGAGCAGGTACTGGGGATTTGAATCCAGGGGTATTCTAAACTGAGCTACAACCCCAGCCCTTTTTATATTTTTGAGACTGGGTCTTGCTAAGTTGCCTCAAACTTGTAATCTTCTTGCCTATTACAGGCATGCACTACTCAGTGATATCTTTCTTACACATCTTAATAGCTTCAATTCTTCATTCTTTTTTTCCCCACATTTTGCAATTCTTCATTCTTAAAATTAATCAATGATTCTATTCTCAATATTAGTGAAATCAATATCAATATTCAATGAAAATTCACAATAAAATGCTTATCCAAAGCAAGCTATGGAGAATTAACTTGCCAACAAATAATGTGGGTTCTGAGCTTTTAAATTTTGGTTAAATTTAAAAGCCAACGAAGGCTGAGGATGTAGCTCAGTTATAGAGTGCTTACCTAGCACATGTGAGGCACTGAATTCGATCTTCAACATCGCATAAAAATAAATAAATAAATAAAGTAAAGCCAAAGAGTGGGGTGGGTATAGTCATGTACTTAGCTAGTTGGGAGGCTAAAGCGAGAGAATGGCAAGTTCAATGTCAGCAATTTAGTGAGAATCTTTCTCAAAACTAAAATCTTTAAAGAGGGTTGGGATGTAGGTAGATTGAGGCCCTGATTTTAATCCTTAGTACCACCAAAAAAAAAAAGCCAAAGAATGCACTGAGAGATCACTATATCAAGGCTATTGGTATATTGATCATCTGGGAACAGATGACAAGGAGCAGCCATTGAGATGTTCTCTAGCTATCTAGATTAGTAACAGACAGACAGTCAAAAGGGAAGGGGTCCATGGGGGCTAATTCCCTTCACAATTCAGTATAACTGCCTCAAAGGGGTAATAAAAGATTTTTAAAACACATTTTAAAATGATAATCTACCAGCTTATGGAAATAAACACCAACCCAGGCTCTTCTGGAACTTGGCTGATGAAATAGAAATCTTAAGTTGCTACATAGTCACTGGCTGGGTATATCAAATCCTTTCCTGTTTTGAGTAGCCAAAGTGAAAGTAGTCCCAGCCAAAAGTCTACAACCCCACAGCAATCTTGGGATATAATAATTCCCACATCTCCTTGATGAATACCAAAGTACCTTTTCCTTTCCAGATTCTGCTACTTGTACTCAGAGGCCATAATTTTAATTAGTTTGATTTCTAGGCCTTTTTGAACATAGACCTCTTAATGCCCACTATTAATTTAGGAATGTTCAAATTCTATACAGTATGTACTCTTGAAAGAAGGGAGAAATAATTGGTATTTTCTCTTCTCAGCTGGTAAATACAAGTGAAAACTTGAGCAAAAGTCGAAAGATTCTCCGTTCGATGTCCAGAAAGTAAGTTTCAAAAAGTCACAAAATTTCTTTTAACTCTTAATGTCTTCAAGAAAGCTTAAAATATTGGCAGAGTCCTAATAAATCACCTTAGTGCTTTATTCCATATAGTCCCCCTGTACTCAGTACTACCCAGCAGATAGAGAAATAAAGTAAGGAATATAGTTTTTATAGTAAAATATTCCAGGATAAAATCCTTTGTTAAAATTATGTATTGCTCCGATTTGCAGCACTTGAAAATTTGTCCACTGAAAGAATGTTTAATCTCAGCTTTATATTTCTGCAAGAAGACACATGGGAATGATAGAGCTTTATATTTATTGAAATATATTTGTAAAAACTTGATTAGAAAAGTTTTCATGGCCAGGCAAGTTGGCGCACGCTTGTAATCCCAGCTGCTCAGGAGACTGAGACAGGAGGATCTTGAGTTCAAAGCCAGCCTCAGCCAAAGTGAGGCACTAAGTAATGAAGGGAGACCCTGTCTCTAAATAAAATACAAAATAGGGGGATATGGGGATGTGGCTTAGTGTTTGACTGCCCTTGAGTTCAATCCCTGGTACAAAAAAAAAAAAAAGTGTTATTGCTTAGTTCTGGCTTTTGGCTTTGCTTGCCCTTCATGTAAATGAGGCTCTTTTGGGAGTCCTGTCATGTTAGCAAGAGTAGATTTTAAAAACAAAACAAGGACTGAAGGGAAGTATTGCCATTGAGGCTGAAATTGGGGATAAGTGCATGACCTTGGGCACATATGGCCTAGCATGAAACAGAATGACAGCCTGTTCATGAAACTAGCAGGAAGCGTAGAGTTTTCCCTAAACAATAGGAAATTCCTTGTGGACTAAGGAGAAACCTAAGAGTGAACATGAAAACCAGAGATTGAACTCTGTGTAAACAAAAAATAGTACTTTAAAAAAAATAATAATAATAATAAAAGATACCCATTAGGTTAGGGGAGCAGAGCAGAAGAAATAGGAACAAAGTAAAAAAGGAAGACTGAAAGGCAGTACCCAGGGTTCTAGTTACTTTTCCTAAAAGCAAAACCCATCCATGAATTGGACTTTGACACAGGAGGATCTGTCCCAAACCCTTCACCCAGCCTACACTCATAGCTGTGGTATTTAACCAATGTGGTGCTATGTGGCTAGATAGTGAGTGGTATTGTATTACTGCTATTTGAAATGTGATTTGAAGACATTTTAGAACCAAGAAACTATCTTTATGCTTTGGTATTTATAGTCCTAATTTTCCACATTTCTGTGAGGTAGACAGTTTTATCTCTAAATTACAGCTAAAGAACCTTCAGAGTTGCCACTTCCAAGCCAAAGAACCTTATGAGTACTTATTGCTAAGTGGCTCTGTATTCAGACAAAAATTTCATCTGCCCTCAGAGTATCTTAGCCTTGGCCCTGAGACAAACTCCAAAGAATGAAGAACTGTAAGAAATAACCTGTCCAGACTATTGACTACTACTTGTTCTGCTTCTCTTTGTAGAGTGACAACCAACAAGCTGCTGCTTTCCATTATCATCTTACTGGAGCTAGCTATCCTGGGAGGCCTGGTTTATTACAAATTCTTTCGCAAGCATTGAAATTGCTATAGGGAAAGGTTTGTGGATCAGAACCTTGACCCTGTGGACAAATGTTATTAGGGAGTGGAATAAGCATGTTGCTGCTGTGGGCTAACAGTTCCAGGATGCACTGTGTAGCCAGACTGGGAGGAGGAACAGCAGCCAGAAAAACCACATAGATGTGAAGGAACAATGACAAGACCAATATGATATACCAAGGTAATAAATGCAGTTTATGACTTCTGCAAATTTACATAGTACTGTAATATATCAATACCTTGTGAATTTAAAAAAAAAATACATTTACAGTAGTATTATTGGTCACCAAAATGGAGAGGGGAAACTTTACAATCGTGAAAGTGTATTGATGTTCTTATTAAGGCAGTATCAATCCAGCCAACCATTTAGTATCTGTCCCCTTGAATGCTTTGCAAATCTGGAATGCCCATCGTGAAATGTGCCAGTGCACAGTGTTTCCTAAATTCTCACACGTTCTTCATTTTCTGATTCATCTGGTGAACTAGGAGTAGGAAGTTGGTCATAGACAATGTGTCCTCCTTCCCTTGTCTGACCAAAACTTGAAGCAATCACATCCACTGCCAGGCTAGCTGTAGCCTTTGCCTCTTCATCTGAAGTGGCCAACCGAGGATTGACTTCAACAAGATCCAATGCTGACAGCAACCCTGGAAGAATAAGTATCAAAATCTCAGAAAATCGCCTAGCTGGTACTTTTAGTGAGAGTTGTCCCACTTGGACAAGGAGGACAAGCCAAGGTAAAAACAGGAGCGCTTTTCACTATAAAATTATCTATTGTAAGAAAGCCCCTTGCACCTTATTCTCTTACCCATCAATTCAAGTTAAAACACTATAAGCTGAAGTACTGAAAGAAACCTTTAAGGTAATCAAATAATTCATCCCTATTCAGCTAACATAATAGGCCTAGCTATCAGGCTTTCTAATGCTTTATCTGTTTTTGTTATTGTTTTGGGGGGTGCTGGGGATCAAACTCAGGACCTTCTGCATGCTACGCACACACTGTGCCACTGAGCTACATCCCCAGCCCCATTTGTATCCCTTAAGGCACTATACCACGTGCCCTAAAATGTATATTCTTATCCCTTCATGCTTGAGTTCTGAGGAAAGTTCTACATCTGATACATTTTTTATATCTCCCAGCAGACTGGCCCAGCATCTTACACTTTTTCATGGGAAGATACAGTCATATGTTGCCTTCTGTGAGGGTTTGAGAACTTTTGCCCAAGTCCTCAGCACTGTTCTTTGGCCTGGAGGGGAAGGGAAGAACCTATCCAGATCTTCTTCCCTCCCCCTCTACATAGCCAACTTCTCTAGAACTAACTCCTTAATTGATTAATCTGGTTAAAGTTAATCTACCTCTTTGAGAGTCATCTGAATAAACTAGTATTCAGGAATACAGTATCTAAGAATATTTGGTGTGACTATAAAGACTAAAATCATGGGTGTATACACCTAATGGCTTATTGATATTATGTTATAGTACATGATACTTAGTGTCATTGTATCTGTTCAGTGTGTTGTTTTAGTAGAACATAGCTGATTGCAGTGTGGAAAACTGCAATGACCAGGCATGTTACCATAGCATTTCCATCATTTTGTCCATATGACCTGTGTCTCTGACGGTTTATGTCACTGATTTATATGGGCTAAACCTGCACCCTGAACCTATCCCAAAAGTAATAATCAGAGAGTGTGTGCTACTATTACCTATGTTTCCTGACTACTGCCATCCTGCAAATTAAAGAAAACTGTTTGATGTATCTAATGGACAACATCATGAGTGTCTTTTGGAATAAATACTGCAACAGAGAAAAGGTGGCACAAGGCAAGGACCATGCCACATCTAGGTGCTGCAAGTTATTAAGCCCTCCTCTGACTGGTGACATTGGAAAGCTAAATGGAGGATTGAACTCTTGGGTTCTCTGTCCACTAACCCAAGGTAATATCTAAGGTCTGAGAATGAAACTGTCTTGCTACTCTTAGATCTAAAAGTGCTTTCCTAAGGTTCTAGCAGGTTCTATGGGTTCAATGCCCATTTCTATCTCCTATTCCAGGGTTCCCTACAGCCTTAGACCTTTGAATCTGGGGTCTCTATGCTTCTTTATACCTGTTTCATGAAATGGTTACTGAAGTAGTACCACATGGTAAGTGTTTAAATTTTGGAAGGGAAGGTCATTTCAAATGAATTTAAAACTAGAAGCTTTTTTACAAAAATGAAAACTGCAAAACAAGTTTGAGTTTTGGAAAAGTTACTTTTGATAATCTAGAATTTATGTTAATTTTGTCAGTGATTTATCCAACTGTATCCTACTTATTAAAACTCCTATCAAACAACCTCTTTGATAAAAAGGACTTGTCCCAACTTACAATATCTTTAAGAGATCTGCTTTGACTCCAAATTCCTGACTCCCAGAGAACCAACCCTCTTTTTTTGTAGTACGGAGGGCTGAATCCTATACTTTTTAGGTACAGAAATTTAAGCAAGGGGGAGGGAAACAGGAAATACTGGGGACTGAAATGGAGCAAATTATATTCTATGCAGCTACAATTATGTCAAAACGAACCCCATTATTTTGTATAACTATAATATACAAATAAAACATTTTTTAGGGCAGGGCCTGGTGGCAAATAACTACTCCCAGCAACTCAGGAGGCTGAGGCAGGAGGATCCCAAGTTCAAAGCCAGCCTTTGCAAACTAGCAAGACTCTAAGCAACTTAGCGAGATGCTATTTCAAAATATAAAATAAAAAGGGTTGTGGATGTGCTCAGTGGCTAAGTGCCCTGGGTTATATTCCCAGTACCCCAAAAAATTTCTTTTCAGCAGAACAGCCTGGTATGATAACACATACCTGTAATCCCAGTGACTTGGGAGGCTGAGGCAGAAGAATCACAAGTTCCAGGCCAGCCTCAGCAACTTAGCAAGAAGATCCAGTCTCAAACACTAAAAGGGGCTGAGATTGTAGTTCTGTGATAGAATGCCCCTGGGTTCAAACCCCAGTATCAAAAAAAAATAAAAAATTTAAACAAAGATCCCCTTCAGGGAGGAGATTCTGCATAATTGCATATATACTTAACAGGCTACTGACCTGGTGTCTACATACCTGTATTGTGTATTTCCTCAGTAATATACATGCCTTCTCTATAGGTTAATCCCCCCACAACAGGGGTTCCTGTGGCTGGAGCCAGTGTAGGGTCAAATGCATCAATATCAAAACTCAGATGGATTGGCCTTTGTCTCCTGGAAAGGAAGAGGACCACAGAATACATATTTAGTTGTGCTTGTAGACTCATTCATTCTTCCTGTTACTGTAGCTCCTTGATTTTGTTGTTTTTTGGTCCTGGTACTTTGTTAAATATAGCAAATTTCCAGGTTTTTTTCTTCCTGAAAGTTACTAAAAGTATATTAGATTCCTACACTACTTCATGTTATTGGTGTTTGTTCTACGTATTTTAGACAGATTAACTGCCGATTGTATTTCTGGTGTACCCTGGGCATTAGAGCCTCGTTCGTTACTGTCATTAGAGGGAATTCTTCACTTTCACATGACACTGGGCTCTGATATACTAATTTAAGTTAGCATGATCTGAGTTATAGTTGCCTTTATTCTCTAACAGCAGCTGAACTTAATACTAATTTTATGTCTACAAACTTAACATCTTCCAATTCCAACTTGAGTACATGTGTCCAATGGCTGAAATCTAACATACAGCACCCTGAAGTAAAAACTCAGGATTGGGAAAATGCTCCTTTAAGTTAGCATATTATTATCATTTATCTGCCATATTTCTATATTACCAAGATTTGCTTAATATTAGACTCAGATGAAGCAATAATAATGAGGCTGTGAAGAATGGGACTGTTGGAACAAGGAATGCCTCACATCTCAAAAGATAAACATTAAATGGAGATAAAGCCGGGCACAATAGTGCCTGCCCTGTAATTCCAGCGGCTCAGGAGGCTGAGGCAGTATGATCGAGAGTTCAAAGCCAGCCTCAGCAATTTAGCAAGGTGCTAAGCAACTCAGTAAGACCCTGTTTTTAAATAAAATACAAAAATGGCTGGGGATGTGACTCAGTACTTAAGTTCCCGTGAGAAATTCACAAGAAACAGGAGATCTGGGCAATGACTTAAAGGAAATTCCCTCCCAACCCCAGAAAAAGAATATGACTAGATGTTTCATGTGATACCTTTCTGAAATTTTTATATGTACATCATTTGTTTTATTTTAAAAGTAAAGTTTCTATGCTAAACAGACAGGCTAAGGTGTGACACCCATTGAGAGTTTGCTCTGTCCCTCTCTGGGATCTAGAAGTAGACATACATTGTAGTTACTTACTTGCCAATCAGCAGATCAAATGTCTGTTCCATGACCTTCTGAATACCAAGTCGATCAATATCTCTCATGGAAAAATACTGAATATCATAGTTCTTTAAAATAAAGCTGGTGAGAAAGAAAGAAAGGAATCCTTAGTTTAAAAGCTATTTTTAAGTGACTCAGGAGGCCTCAGCAATTTTGCAAGACCTTGTCTCAAAAAATAAAAAGGGTTGGGTATGTAGCTCAGTGACAAACCACCCCTGGGTTCAATCCCCTGTACCACACACACACACACCAAAAAAAAAATCCAAGTTCTTTAGCATGTATATTAGGGGGTTTTCCCTTGTATTGACCTACAACAGATTACATCAAGCGTCAACCTTTAAGAGGAACATAAATAGCCAGCACAGGCCCAAAGCTTAAACTTACTGTTCAGGAGGGTCCACATCTCTTAGGCCAATATACACAATACTTGGGGAAGAGATACAAGGTTTGATCCAGGAAAATCCTGGGAGTTGTGGTACCTATGAAAAGAGGAGTGAACAAGATTATAGGATTAATTAAGAATTCTTTGTCTCACCAAGATAATCACCATGTGTTTCCAAAAGTGTGTAATCACTTTTTCCTCCTGTCCACAGGATATGTTTAAAACAACACAAGACACTTGATCTAGGAAATAAACTTCACAAGAATGGAAATGTTTCAGAAGGGGAACAGAAAAACAATACAGCTTTCTCAAGGAGAATGAAAAAAAATTTTCTCAAAATGGTCTTGGTTTACCATTAACTAGTCTAAACAGTAGGACTACACTGATTTGCCCTTTTGGTTCCTTTGCACATTGCTAAACTGTTTACAGATTGGTTCTTAAAGTATAACTCAATTGCCACCTCAAGTTGCCAACAACCAAACAAATTCTGTCTAATGAATAATCTTTGTACTATTCTGGTTTAACCTAGTTTCTCGCTAAGGGGGAGGGATATACAGATACTAGTTTATGACTGTCTTGGCATTAATGTGCCTCCCATGTCTTCTCTATAGCTTAGGAAAATATTACCCAGAGGTAAGCATAGCGTCGCTTATCTGAGCGCTTATCTGAGGGTGTGGCCTGGGAGCCTCTAACCAAGGAGTCCTCAGGCTATGAGACTGTCCATCACTAGTTACTACCACCTTACTTTCTTAGAGAATTATAAGCATCCTGAGAGCAGGGACCATGTCCTAGTCATCTCTAGATCCTAGCATCTAGCAGACTGTCTGGCACACAGTAGTATTTAGTGAACAAATGAAAGGTTGGTAAGCCTCATGGAACCCATCCTTCACTCTAGTCTTATTGAACAAAACCTCCAAAGCCCCAGGAATAACCCTGTAAGCCATTTACCTTCTCATTCTGTCCCACTAACCTTGTCTTGTAGTTCTCTGAGAAGAAATGCAACTGGCTGTCCATGGAGGTTTCCTGATGAAGTGGTGAGGGGTGTATTGATGTCAGCATGGGCATCAACCCAGATGACACAAAGGTCTGGGCAGTGCCGGGTGTGACCACTAATGGTTCCGATTGCTAGGCTGCAAAGGACAAATATTATCTTCAAGGCCTTCTGCTTTGCTATCATTATCAATAAAAAATATTCTGAGCCAACACAGCTTACACTCTGTCCTCAGGGCAAAGTCAGGGCCTGGACTGGGTTAAGGTAAAACAAGTTTCCTGGGTTGTTGTCCCCAAAGATTAACCTTGAGTGGATTAGATATGAGAAATATAAAACTTTGAGGACTGGCAGCATGATAGATGTATTTCCTGTCCCCAAAATTCATGTCATTTGATCCATTAACCCTGGCCCAGAATAGGACCTCAAATGTTTGTTCAGTGAGTGAAATCTAGTTAAATGATCTATGTGTAACAAATCAAAAATGTTGCTTACTACCTCTTCAGGTGTCCACCTGGGAGATCCAATTTTAACTTACAAAGAATCAGTTATGTTAACTTTTTTTTTTTTTTGGCAGGGGGGAGGGTCCCAGGGATTGAACCCAGGGGCACTTACCACTGAGCCACATCCCCAGCCTTTTTTATTTTCTATTTTGAGACAGGGTCTCACCAAGTTGCTTAGGGCCTCACTAAATTTGCTGAAGTTGGCTTTGAACTTCCAATCCTCCTGCCTCAGTTTCCAAAGTTGCTGGGTTAGAGGTGTGCACCATTGTATCTGGCCTACATTAACTTTTTATGGATTAAAAACTATAAATCAGGGCTAGGGGAGTAGCTGGTACAGTGCACTTGTCTAACTCTGGGTTTGATTCCCCATCAGCGCGTGTGCGCACACACACCACACACACACACACACACCACACACACACACACACACAAATGGAGTATTACTCAGCCACAAAGAGGAATAACTATGACATTTGCCAGTAAATGGATGGATTTGGAGACTATCATGCTAAGTGAAATAAGCCAGTCCCCAAAGGTTGAATGTTTTCTCTGATATGTAGAAGCAAAACCACAAAAAAGGGGTGGGGAGGAATAGAAGTTCAGTAGATTAGACAATGGGGAATGGAGGGAAGGAAGGGAGGGTAGAAAAAGGAAAGACAGTGGAATGAATCTGACATAGTTTTCTTATGTACATATAGGGAAACCACAGTGAATCCTACCATGTGTACATCAAGAATGGAGTCCTAATAAGATTTATTCCATCTTGTATAATTATATCCAAATGGATTCTACTAAAAGAATCAATTTTAAGAAGAAAGCACTATAGCTGTTTTTGCTTATATGTGCCTGAAACCTGAAAAGTCAAAAAGTTGTTAAAGTCATTAAAGTAATAAGCCAATCCAATTTAAGACTTCATGTCCACCACTGCATAAGACAAGTTATTTGCATATTATCTGTGTTAGCATGGCATTCAAATAACTTTCAATGATTTGTTTTTGCCTTTCTTTGTCCTTGGGCTCTGCTTACATCAGCTACCTGTTCTATCTCAACTGCAGGAATATGACTGATGAGATTGTGGCTGGGAAGCTGCCCAGAAACAAAGTTGAGTTTGGCATAGACAAGAAATGCAGTTTAAGCATTCTATAGCCATCCTTGATCAATAAAGCACAAGACAGATTTTCAGGCTCCCCTTGAATGACAATATGGTCTAGTGCTGAAGGCAGTGAATTAAGGTAGATTACTGGAGTTTTTGTCCAGGAAGAGCTGTGAGATTGAAGACAAATTATCAAACTTCTCCAGACTTCCACTTTCCTTTCTGTAAGATAGGAATAAGAGTACTTGGCCAGTTTTAAGTCAGGACTGGTTTTGGTTGGGGGGCGGGGGTGGTACTGGGGATTAAAACCAGGGACACCACTGAGCAACATCCCTAGTCCTTTTTATTATTTAGAGACAGGGTCTCACTAAATTTGGTAGGGCCTTGCTAAGTTGCTGAGCCTAGCTTTGAACTTGATCCTCCTGCCTCAGCTTCCCAAGCTGCTGGGATTACAGGTGTGCCCTACCATACCTGGCAGAACTGGTTTGATAAGTAAGGTGGTGGTGCATGTAGTACTATATAAAAGGAGTGATCAAAACATGCCTCTTCCTTTAAAATGGTCAATAGCCATTCAAATTATACACTTGTCCCTTCCTTTATAGACTATTCCAGATTGCCTAGGTTTTAGCATTGAATAGGAAGGAAGGAAGGAAGAAATAACATGGACTGCAGTATAGATAGCTACAGGTAAAAAAGAAAAAACAAGGACCATGATAATCACATTGAGGAGGTCCCCAAAGAGTGAGACCTGACTACAGGAAAGACTAAATAAATAATCTTAGAGAGAGAGCACAGAACTCTACAGTTGATTTAACTGAATGCACTAGTCATCATACTAGTGAATCTAGGTCTCATGACTCTATTATCCTTCCTGAATTTTTATTCTAATAAGGATTCTACCTGCTTCTCCGGCTGAACAAAAGTTGAACTTCTGATAGTGATCTGAAAAGCTCTCGGAGTACCTCAGAGAAAGTTATTCTATTAGATCTGAAAAGAAAAATTAATTGCAATGGGGGCCACAATTGATTTGAATCCTATCTCTGCTATTTCTTGGGTGTAGGCCTTGGATAAGTTATCTAATATCTGGCTTTCGGTGCTTCCAGTAATAAATAAAACCATAAAATACATTGAAGTGCTTCTAGTGCTTCATTGCCTCTACCAATAAACATCATTACTTAGCTAAAATAACAGTCCCCTGTGAAATCTGACTATTCAAGCACAGACCAACTTCTTTCTTCTCTGAAAGTCTGTAGAATTCAATATTTTAAAAAAATTTGTTCCACATGTTTTAATTTCATCTAACTGGAATAAATTGCAAAGTTTCCTACAAATCCTTAGACTGCTGAGAAAACATCAGTACAGTGCTCAGTGAAGTATATATTGACCTACTAAGAGACAAAGGCTCCAGTGACCAAATACATTAGTCACCTAGGGTATTGTGGACTGGAAAGTATATTCACATTCTAAGGGATGATCTCTAGCAAATCTATTAGAAATGTTAATAAAAATGCCTAAATTTGGGTTGGGGTTGGGCTCAGTGGTAGAGCGCTCACCTAGCATGTGTGAGGCCCTGGGTTTGATCCTCAGCACCACATAAAATAAAGGTTTTGTGTCCAAATATAACTAAAAAAACAAATATTTTTGAAAAATGCCTAAATTTAGTCCTGATGTATTCTTCCAGTTCTCCAAAATGAAAGTCATGTTTTCTAGAAAACTTAAGAAGATAAGCATGAAACATGGTGACTAAAAACCTTGCTTAACCTACCTTTGTACTTGCTGTGTCAAATAACACAAATCCTCTTACTATTCAATGTGTTACACAAAGCAAAATACACAGTTCCTACAAAAGTTCGTGATATTAGACATTAAAATGATGTTATATATACCACACCCTAAAAATACTGTAGATATTTTTCTTGGGATGAAGAAACTAAGATAGCAACTAAGTAATGAGCCCAAAGCAACATGTTATCCAGCCCCTCACCACACCTGGCTCCAGCTTACCTGTGGTCGCCTCCCACGGTGACACAGCTGTAGCCACCTGATACTGCTCTGCTGACCACCTCTGCCAGTTCCTGGTTGGCAAGGCCCACAGAGCGTGGGTTCACTATCAGGTTGTTATAGAGATCATCTTTGGGCACTGGAGTAAAACTCAAGTCTCCAAAGTCTTTTAAGCGGCAACCTAGAAACAAGGGGTGATAAGAAAAATTGTATGTACTTTTCCAATTCTTACTGGCCTGGGATACTCATGGCAAAGTATACATCATACTTATTTTGTCACAGTAAAAATTAAAGTGTCACATAAATCCTGGGAAGTAAACCCTCTTTTAATTTTTTTTAAGATGTAGATGGACACAAAACCTTTATTTATTTATTTATTTAATATTTTTTGGTAGTGAGGATTGAACCCAGGGGTGCTTAACCACTGAGCCACATCTCCAGCCCTTTTTTTTCTAAATATATTTTTTATTTAAGAGACAAGTTCTCACTGAGTTTGCTTAGGGCCTTGCTAAATTGTATAGGCTGGCTTTGAACTTGCAATCTTCCTGCCTCAGCCTCCTGAGTTGCTGGGATTACAGGTGTGTGCCACCATACCCAGTGATTATTTTATTTATTTTTTATGATTATTTTATTTATTTTTATGTGGTGCTAAGAATCAAACAGCGTGCCTCACACATTAGGCAAGCACTCTACCACTGAGCTATAACCCTAGCCCGAGTAAACCCTCTTAAAAGAACACCATTTTTGCAGAAGAAACAACTAAAACCAAGAAGTATAATTAACTTAACCTAAATCACAAAATTGGTAGCATATGTCCCAGACTTATAAAGGGGAAGTAAAATACCAAAAGTAACCAACAGGATTTAAAGAAAATAAGTACTATTAATTAGGACCAAAATACACATATAGAAATTCTCAGACTTTTTAAAAATATTTTTTAGTTGTAGTTGGACACAATATCTTTATCTGTTTATTTTTATGTGGTGCTAGGCATTGAACCCAGTGCCTCACACATGCCAAGCTGGTAGAGCACTTGCCTGGCACGTGTGAGGCAATGGGTTCGATACCTAGCACCACATAAAAATAAAATAAAGCTATTGTGTCAATCTACAACTAAATTTAAAAAAATCAGAAGACCTAAAGCATACTAAAATATCTGCCAGGCATGGTGGCACATGGCTTTAATCCTAGCAACTGAGGAGGCTGAGGCAGAAGAATTCCAAGTTCTAGACCAGCCTCAGTAATTTAGCAAGGCCCTGAACAGCCTAGTGTGATCTGTCACAAAAAATAAGGGTTTGCGGGGACTGGGCTTGTGGCTTAATGGTAGAATGCTCACCTAGCATGTGTGAGGCACTGGATTCAATCCTCAGCACCACATAAAAATAAAATAAAGGTACTGTGTCCACCTACAACTAAATATAAAAAATGATAATAAATAAGGGCTGGGGGTGTGGCTTAGTGGTAAAGTGCCCCAAGTTCAATCCCCTGTTCAAAAAAAAAGAAAGAAATATATAATATATAATATTTGTTATTACAAATTACTGGCAACTGTTACGCTTTTTTTTTTTCAGTGCTGAGGATTGAACCCAGGGTCACTTTAACACTGACTTACATCCCCAACCCTTTTCATTTTTTATTTTTGAGACAGGGTCTTGTTAAATTGCCCAGACTGGGCTCAAACTTTTGATTGACCTGTTTTAGCTTCCTGAGTCATTGGGATTATAGATATATGCCACCAAGCCTGGCTGGTTTAACATAAATTCTTATTTAGGATTCACAACAGTTCTATGAAGCAACTAAAATAATGCCTTTTCCATACAGTATGAGGAAACTCAAGCAAAGTAACTTACCTAAGGTCACATAGCTGCCAAATGCCAGAATCAAGATCTAGCAGGGCACAATTACACATGCCTGTAATCCCAATTACTCAGGAGGCTGAGACAGGAAGATTGTAAGTTCAGGGCCAGCCTGTGCAACTTAGCAAGACCCTGTCTCAAAAAATTTTTTCAAAGAAAGGGTTGGGAGGGTAGCTCTGTGATAGAATGCTTGCCTAGCTTTTGCTAAGTCTTGGGTTTAATCCCTAGTCCAAGTCATCTGGCTCTAATATTTGTATTCCTTACTGTACAGTTTGCCTCCCAAATAATTCTTCCTGCTTCCAATACTTTAAGAACTCAATAGCCAGGCATGGTGACGCATGTCGTTTAGGAAGCTGAGAAAGGAAGATCAAGAGTTCAAAGCCAGCCTCAGCAACAGCGAGGTACCAAGAAACTCAGAGAGACCTGTCTCTAAACAAAATACAAAATAGGGGTGGGGATGTGGCTCAGTGGTTGAGTGTCCCTGAGTTCAATCCCCAGTACCCCCCGCCAAAATATATATATATATATACACACACACACACACACACACACACACACATACACGTTCTGACAACTTTGAATACTTTCTACCTATATTGTAGGTGAAAACGAAACAATCCAATTCTATCCAAAAGGGACATGAGGGCTATGGTTGTGGCTCAGTGGTAGAGCGCTTGCTAGCATGTGTGAGGCACTGGGTCCAATCCTCAGTACCACAATAAATAAAAGTCAATAAATAGAGGTATTGTGTCCATCTACAACTAAAAAAAAATTAGAAAAGGGACATGAACTATGAGAGAACAGAATGTTACAGATTGTATGCTTAGGGCCCTGCTTCTCAAACTGGTGTCTAGTTATTGGGGTTCAGGGGGACTGTAACATCTCAATATCTGCATGGATTTGTTAAAGATTTGGATTAAGACCAGCATGGAACCGGGCGTGATGGCACACACCTGTAATGCCAGCAGTTCAGGAGTCTGAGGTAGAAGGATCACAAATTTGAGACCAGCCTATGGAATTTAGCAAGGTCCTGTCTCATAACAATAAAGGGCTGGGGATGTAATTCAGTGGTAAAATTTCCATGTTCAATCCCTAGTATAGCTAAAAGAAGGGGGGGGGGGGGAGAAAGGAAGAAAGAATGAGTGAGCATAAAAGACCCCACATGAGAGATTTATCCAAACAAGTAAGAGGAAAGGAAGGAGGGAAAATGCAGGTAGGAGAAGAATGACAAAAAAAAACAAAAACAATGGGAACCAAGAGAAAATGACCAAATAAAATCTTTGTTTTGTTTTGGGGCTGCTGGGGATCAAATCAAGGGCCTCATGCAGGCTAGGCAAACCCTCTATCAGAGAGCTACACCCCAGTCTATAAAAATCTTTTTTTAAAAGAGCTCAGTGGGACACTCAAGAGGCCGAGTCAGGAAGATCACAAGTTTGAGACTAACCTCAGCAACTTGCTGAGTCCCTGACTCAAATTTAAAAAAATAAATGACTGAGATTGTAGCTCATTGGTAAAATAGAAAATGAAAATCTTTTAAAAAGAAAGTCAAGAACTGGGGATGTAGCTCAGTGGTATAGCACTTGCCTAGCATGTACAAGATCCTGAGTTTGACCCACACACACCACACACACACACACAAAAAAAGCCACAAGTAAAATCATTATTGACTTCACCAAATTTCAAAATGTGGGGAGGACACTTTAGACTTAAGAGAAATGAAACTCTAACTTTGAAGTCAATATCAGGTGTGGTCAGATCTTGAATGTTAGTGCCTATTCTAGGGTGTTTTTATTTGTATTTTTAATCTCAACAACCCCTTCAAGCATATTAAGCATTAGGTTCTTACTGGATTAAAACCCTAGAGCATGTCTGGTGTTTTGTAATTAGGTGCATAATTATAAAAGCCTTATAATCTAAATAATAATGTTAATATTAACTAACTTTAGAGACTTCTCAGTGAGCTACACCCCAATCTATAAAAATCTTTTGCCAGGCACTTTAACTCATATTAATCCTCACATGCAAAAAATATACTGAGGAATTAAAATTTTCGTAGGTAAGTGACAGAACTTGGGGAACTCTCAAGACCAATCATGGAAATCAGGCTGTAGACTCAAGTAAGTGCAACAGAAAACTGCGCTCTGCTCATTTGTATTTTCTTACTAGGGGGAAAACAAACAACAACAACAAAGTAAAACTGAACAAGGCCTGAAAATAATTTGGTAGTCTTAGAATAATACTGTCCAAGGAAGAAAGACTGAATTTTGTAAAAAGATTTTGATCAATAAATGTGTAACTGTGCTTTGGATTGGGTTAACAGAGTAATTCACAGCATAAGGACTGGAATTTAGCTCAGTGTTAGAGCACTTTGCCTAGCATGCTCAAAGCCTTGGGTTCAATCCCCAGCCCTGTGGGGGCAAAACCAAAGATTAATTCAGAGCCCAGATGGTGGATTCTCCTAAATTACCCAACTTTATTTACTCTATTTTCTCACCAAGCCACCTTATGGTTACTCACTTGGTTTTCCAGATGCCTTCACTTACTCACAAGGGCTTCCAAACAGTGCGTGCTGGAAGGTCTCTTGTTCAACATAATTACGCAGAGGCATTTTGTTTTATCCAGCATGGTTAGTGTGAGTCTGGGTATTAGAGCCTGAGAATCTCTACACACGCAAGCTTTGTGTTTCTGGATCCACAAAGCTCTGAGCCTGACCAGAAAAAAATTAGTATCTTGAGAGGCCCTGCCTGAGCGGCCTGCCCTCTAGACTCCTAACTCAGCTCTTTAATTTTCATAATAAGTAAGAACTAGGAATAGCAAGTATTAAAGGATCAGAGGAAGTCTGCTGAAGATTGAGGCAGTCAAAGAAGGGCCCCTCCAACTTAAACTTGTATCAGCACTGTTTTATTTTCTACCCTACTTGGACAGAAATTATAAAAATGAATGAGGAGGTATCTAATGGTAGAGGGTCCCACCCTAGTCCCCAGGCCAATATACTATACTATATCCTTGCAAGCCTTTATACCTAATATTTTCTTAAGTAAGACTATTAGGTAGAGTAGGCTACACTGCTGTAGCAAAGCCCCCAAAATAATGGCTCAAAGATATTGTTTCTTTTTCATCTAACATCTAGAGTGGGTATCTCAGTCAGCAGGAGGCTTTCCTCCATGTTGGGATTCACGCATCTGGCTTGTAACTGTCATAACTAGGGCTTTGCCACTGATGGGGCTAAGGTTAGGTCTCTCCAGATTCAAAGCAGCAGGAGGGAGAAATATATTGATAAGGCATAGCTCCTCTTTACAGGCCCCGTCTGAGAAATGGCACATCA